GGTTTATCGTTGAGTATTTATTAATATATTGTTTTATTCACCTGACTCATTCATTTTTATGACAGTGATATTTAGTGTTTCATTGGATTGATGAGTGATTTTTTTTTTCTGTTTGAAAAGCAGCGTAATTTAATCACTATTGGTTATTTTCTTATCTCAATCTTAGACCCTTCCTCCCTGGTGGCGGGAGACATGGCCATGGTGCAGCAGGCTATCCTGGGCCGGACGTCAACGGGTAGAGGGAGGATCTTCACTGGAACCAGTACCAGGCTGGAGACGCACAGCAGCGCTCTGTCTACCCTTTCTCTTCCRGCAGTCACCTCCACACATTTGGTCATGTGAGTTTTTAGAAACTGTGCATTTTTTTTTTATCATGCATGATGGATGTTTTTACGCCCATTTTAAATTCATTGGTTTTATTTTCCCCACAGAGTAACACCCTTATTTAACAGGACTGTGTCGGATTAGCAGATAGAATAAATTTTAAACACTAATGGTTCTGTTTACTCCTGAATACTAAAAAAGTTAAATGCTGCAGAGTCGAGCCAGAGTCTAAAAGCACTGAATGAATATTTAATGTGTTTGCAGTGAATCTGGACACTGAGCAGCTTTATTGTTGAACCTGATATYGACTCCGCCTCATTCTCCACCATAAATCCACTATTATCACTGTGTGTTTTTATTTTGTTTCATAGTTAATCTGAGCCAAATATATTTTACTGTTTCAACCTGAAATCAAATTGACTTTCACGCAAATATATAATCTTGAAATAATGTGATTTTAATTTAAAAATTCTCAATTAAAATTTAATAAAATGGCCTTTATTTTGCCCTCTGAGCAAATAATGCCACTGCTATTTTTTTAATATAAACATTGTTATTTATTACATTTGAGACAATTTAGGTGCTTATCTAATAAGCAGTAAGTCATTATGGCTTTAAAGGAGCACGTGTTTTCATTATGGTAATACTTTTAGGTTCAGTATATCCAAAACATCCTGGGACAACAAACAACTTGCATATATTTTTACAAGTACCTTTTGTTTTTAATATTCCATGAGGTGTTTAGAGTCAACTTTACATTTTCAAAACGGATGCATAAAGTAAAAAAGAGCAAATAGTAGTTATTGCATTGGTTTCAAACATGAGGGGMCATAGCCTTATCTGCTCAGAGATTGTGAAAATATAAACTTATTGTTTACATATAAAAATCAGCAAAACACGTCCATTTGAATAATTAAATTTCTGTATAATTTTTTTTTCAAATTAAAGTTTTAACTGTTCACCTTATTTTTTATTATTTTGATAGCTTGGTAGTAAGGAAGGGGGCCTTTGAGGAAAATCAGTTAGAGACCAGGCTTTTAGCTTAGCTTATTTATCAGATCCTTGTCTTTCACACTGGACTCTGTGTAGGCAGCAGAAATGAAACCCGCCACCTTTTCCTCAGGGCCAACGACACCACAGAGCTGACTGAGGAGGCGGCCCGTGCGGCTCCCTGCAGCARCCAGCTGGATGGAGCAGATTCCACTCAGGCACTCCTCAGGACGTTTGCCTGGGTGGAGCCTCCAGATGAAGACACCTGCTGTGTGGTTTCCACTGAACCGTCCCTCCATGCCAGAGATGAGCAGCTGGGCAATGTGGTTCAGACAAATAACCCACCTGCCACAGAGATTACCCCTGGTGTGACTTTGAGCTTTATTGTCGTTCCTTTTAAATTAGCTCACAGTAGTTCAATTTAAACATTTATAAAAGTACATTACAAAAYTGAGGTTATGTGTGTTCTCCACATTGTAGCCCCGTTTGCTCAGGATGCTGTTAACAAAGCARTTCATAGCTGCGCTGATGTAGGAAAAGAGCCTCGCCCGTGCACCTCTGTGCTCCAAGACTCCAGCTTTGAGGTCATCTCATTGGAGAGGTGAGGGGATGGTGTTCCCACTAACGTAGCAGGTTAAAGGGATCCATGATTAGTTGTAACATTAGACTTTATTTAATAAACACATATTTTAACTGTAAAATAAAGACTAAAAATACTGTAGACTGTTTAGTTTTGTAAATGTTTTAAAATATATTTTAATGGACGGAGCCATTTTATTTACACACAAAGCATTCTGGGTAAATGATGACGTGGGTAGGTCCTCTGTGTGAGCGAGCTATATCCACCCTGAAGGTTAATCTTGAACAATGTCTTACGATCGACTCTTAAATGAAACCAGAGAGCGTTGACAGAGAGGAGAAGGTAGAAATGACTCAGCCTGTAACTGAAAATATGGATGGAGGACAACAGAGC